GCCCACTGTGGGGCGGGGTGCCTCGGGGGGCGGGGCGGACCCAGTGGGACCACAGTGTGTGGGGGGTGAGGGAAGGGCCATTGTGGGGGCAGGGCAGACTGGGCTGGACCACTGTGTGTGTGGAGGGAGGGGCCGAGGGGAAGGACCACTGTGCGGGGCAGGGTGGGGCAGTCCAGAGCTGGACCACTATGTATATGGGGGGGTGTAGTGAGGGCAGGACTACTGTGGGGGGCAGCCAGCAAGGAATAAATAGTTGAGGAACTGGACTGGACCACTGTGGCGGGGGGGGAGGGCCACTGAGAACCATACCACTGTGTGTGGGGGGAGCTGAGGGGAGAGACCACTGTGGTGGAGAGGGGGACTGGGCTGGACCATTATGGAGATGCTGGAGAGAGGACTACTGTGGGGGGTTTCAGCTGGGGAGCCAGATCACATGCTGGAGTGAGGGCTGGGGAAGCAGGAGGGCAGTGAGAGAGGCTAGGGAGCCTGGTTGCACTGGGCAAAGGGGAGAGGGCCCCCTGGGGAAGCTGGAAGGAAGGTCGCTTGGCTGTGGGATAATGGGCCACTCATCTGGAAAGCGGTGTTAAGAGTTTGGGGATCAGCTCCCTTGGGGTGGGGGGCCGACCAGAGGGACTAGCAGTAATCAAAATACTCCCAGCAAACAAAAGCCCGCCCGGACGGCTTCACAGGGGAGTTTTACAAAACATTCAAAGAAGAACTGCACCCGTTCTCCTCAAACTATTTCAGAAAATCCAAGAGGAAGGAACACTTCCGAGCTCATTTATGAGGCCAGCATTACTCTAATTCCAAAACCAGATCAAGACACTAAAAACAGAGAGAATTACAGGCCAATATCCCTGATGAACATAGATGTTAAAGTCCTCAACAAAATATTAGCAAATCACATCCAGCAATATATTAAAAATATCAGACACCATGACTAAGTGGGATTTATTCCAGGGATGCAAGGCTGGTACAATATTCACAAATCAATAAATGTGATGCATCACATAACCAAATTGAAAGACAAAAAATCACATGGTCATAGCAATAGACACAGAAAAAGCATTTGACAAAATCCAATACCCATTTTTGATAAAAAACTTTCAACAAAGTCTGAATAGAGGGGGTATATCTCAACATGCTAAAGGCCATTTGTGACAGACCTACAGCCAACATCACACTCAATGGGCAAAAACTAAAACCATTTCCCCTAAGAACAAGAACAAAGCAGGGATGTCTGCTTTCACCACTCCTGTTCAACATAGTACTGGAAGTCCTAGCCACAGTGATCAGACAAGAAGAAGAAATAAAAGACATCCAAATTGGAAAGGAGGAAGTAAAACTCTTATTGTTCACAGATGACATGATATTGTACATAGAAAACCCTAAAGATGCCACCAAAAAACTACTAGATTTAATAAAGAAATTTGGCAATGTAGCAGGATACAAAATCAACACCCAAAAATCGGTGGCTTTTTTATACACCAATAATGAATTCTCAGAAAGAGAAACTAAACAAACAATCCCATTTACCATTGCAACAAAAAAATTAAGATACTTAGGAATAAACTTAACCAAGGAGGCAAAAGACCTGTATTCGGAAAACTACAGGATGTTGGAAAAAGAGATAGAAGAAGATATAAACCAGTGGAAGAATATACCATGTTCATGGATTGGTAGAATCAACATCATTAAAATGTCCATACTACCCAAGGTAATCTACAGATTCAATGCAATCCCTATTAAAATACCAATGGCATATTTCACAGATCTAGAACAAATACTCCAAAAGTGTATATGGGATCAAAAAGGACCCCTAATAGCTGCAGCAATTTTGAGAAAGAAAAACAAAGTTGGAGGAATCACAATACCAGATTTCAAGTTATACTACAAAGCCACCATAATCAAAACAGACTGGTATAGCACAAGAACAGGCATATAGATCAATGGAACAGAACAGAGAACCCAGAAATCAACCTAAGCCAGTGGTTGGCAAACTCATTAGTCAACAGAGCCAAATATCAACAGTACTTCTTCAAAATAGACTCGCCCAGGCCGAAAACCGACTTCTGCATATGGGCCACAAAGTTTCAATCGCACTGTACGTGCACCTGCACGTGGTATTTTGTGAAAGAGCCACACTCAAGGGGCCAAAAAGCCACATGTGGCTCTCGAGCCGCAGTTTGCCGACCACGGACCTAAGCCATTAAGCTCAATATTTGACAAAGGACGCAAGGCATACAATGGAGTCAAGACA